GGCGGCAGGCGCGCCCCTGTCCTGCGGCGCCGTCAGCACCTCCGCCCGCGGACCCCTCCCGCGCCCCGAAGAAGGGGCGGCCGCCCCGCGAAGGGAAAGGCTCAGAGACCTCTCGGAATAGCGCAGGAGCCCCGCGTCCAGCTGCTCCCGGATCCCGGTGCGCTTCCTGTTAAGGTAGCGGGGCGACAGCGCGATGTGCCTCCGGTGCGGCCCGGCCACCAGGCAGGAGTAGCGGCTGCTCAACAGCGCACAGGCGGCAGCGTAGGTCGGCAGCTCCAGGCAAGGCACGACGCCCGCGGCTCCCACCACCGGCCCCTCGGAGGCCGCTTTCGGCCGCGGCGGCTCCGCGCCACCCGCCGCCATGCGGCTTCTCAGGTTTCCCGCGGCGCGCGCCACTGACGCAATCGGAACCGCCCGTTCCCGGGCGCGGGTTTGTACGTCATCCGCCGGCCGCCACGCCCCTTGTGAATTTCCCTCCTTTGCGCTGCATTACGCAGTTCCGACCAGCAGGAGGCGCCCGCCGTCCCCCCGCTGGGACAGCCGCGGGAGCTCCGCATTGAGCAGGCTGCCGGGCCGCCGCGCACCTGGTCTCGTTCGGGCGGGCGGACCTGAGTTTCCGCTGGCGTCCTCCTTGGATTTAGTATGTAGATTTAATAGTTCACACCTTGGTCATTTCCAGGAGTCAGGTGGTTTGGTCGATTTTACAAGCTTATGGGATACATTTTACGTGGGAAACCCAATCCTGAAAAGCAGCCTCGATGCCGCCAATGAAACCACCTGGAAAGGATCCCGCCTCGCTGCGGCCCAGCCTCCGCGCCTCGCCCTGTACCGGCTGATTCGGGACGTCGTGCCGCTGGTTCTGCACGGGCTCGGTCCAGGCGCCATCCCTTGCTGGGGCCTCTCTCGGTCCCGCAGACACCAACTCTGCCCCGAGGCCTGTGCGGACAAAGCCACAGCGTCGCGCTCCTCGGACCCGTCTCTCCACCTGCGCGTCCGAAACTGCGGAGCTGCGCGCGGTGGGAGCGCGGCCTGAGGGTCAGGGGGGCGCTTCGGGGAGGCCCGGTTTCCCTGAAGCACAGACAGGCCCCTGACTTTCCCGGTGCACGGCCCCGCACAGGCTTCCCCGCTTTCTTCCGCGCAGCACAAACTCCCTGAGTTTGTC